TTTATAAAATTAATAATTTTAATAATAAATAAAAATATTTAAAAAATACACTTATTTATTTTTAGACATGTCCTTATAAGTTATTTAATGTTAAATAACAACAGCTAACTTTATTGTATAGTCAAACGGTTATATTTATCGAATCCACTATTTACCATCCGCTGCCCACTTTCCGCTATCTGCCATCCGCCATCTGCTAACCGCCACCCACCACCCGCCACCCACTACCCGCTACCGCTACCGCTATCCACTATCCGCTACCCGCTGAATTTTAACTGTTGTACCAAACAGGCCCATAAACTAATTTTTTCAATCTACTAGCGGTTTGAACCTAACCGCAATCCGCTAGTCTAAAGCCGTTAAATAAAAATTTTACTAAACACTTTATTTGTAGCGATTTCAAAATATATAAATTTACCAAATACCTACCAAATACCTATATTTAACGATTTAGATAAAATCACTAACCGTTACCCCAAAACCACTATACCAAACGGGTCCTTAAAAATATAACCCAACTTTTGCCACAGCTCAATAAAATAAAAATAAAAATAAAATGGCCAGACCTGTGCTTACTTTTATTTGTTAGCAAAACCCTACGGTTCAACCCCTAAACTTACTCTAAATTCTTGATTAAGTCCTTACATTTTTGTTGAAGCAAATAAACCCCCTAAACCTAATAAATTGAGCAATTTAACTATATTTCTTTACAGTAAACTTAAGGTTCATTTGTACCCCATTTGTGTCTTATTTGCATGAATAAGATATTAATATATCATTACCTATATGATAAAAATTGACTTTATCCATGTAAATAAGACACAAATAAGCATTAAATCCATTATAAGAAAATTACCCAAATCATTAAGATTAAAAAGTAATTTGCTTTAATAAAAGTATAAGGGTTTAATTGAAAAGTTGAGATAAATTTGAGGGCTTAATGTAAGATATAGCCTTATTTGTTTGACAACACCAGCAACTTTGGCTTCAAGAAACAATTAGAACAATATCGAATTAAAAAATCAATCAACACATATCCTCAATCTGCATTGTGTATGCATACTACAAAAGCAACCAAACACTGAGCCCTAATTATTGGAATCATAGAATCTAAGAGAGAACGTTTCATTAATCAAGATTGTCATCTCTTTCCACAAATAAAGCATTAAAGGATTAGACAAATTTTCAACGAAGTGCCTTGGCCAAACTTTACCCCTGTACTCTAAACCCAAAGCAATGCCAATATAAGATGCCACACTTTAGTCAAACCAATCCAAATAGGGCAATTCCTAATAAAACAAAAACATAAGGACTTATAGAATAAAAACCTAAGGACTTGAGAGAATTATATCTATGTTTTAAACTAAAACCTTGGCCAACCTCTTCTCCTGATCCATTTAGGGTGGGCGTTGTGTGTCTTGGCAGCCGAACTGTCCTATTGGATTAACAAGTGATGTTACGGTAGATTAGTAATACAATAAGTAATGGCCTCCAATATGATAATAGCAGAGATGAAATTGTCATATGGTACCAAGGAATACTTTTGTATACCAAAATATATTTATTTTCTTTAAGTTCTTATTTTTATTATAGTGTTTTGTTTACTTTTAAAAAAAATTTTGAATGTTATACATTTAATTTAATATTACTTAATTTCATTACATATTCAAAATTTTAGAGGTTATTGTTAAAAATTTGGCTTTGAGTTTTGAGGTTACATGAGAAAACGATAGCGTACAACTAAAAAAAAAAAATTCATGTTGGCGTGATACCATTGCCCAAAAATTTGAGTCAACACGAGATCAACAACAATAATCAATTGTCAAAAATCTTTGGTTAAAATCCATTTTGATTCTTTTCCTTTTACAAAAAATTTATTTTTAATTTTTTATTCAAAGAATACTTTTTTAATTCCTAAAATTTATCATCGACATTTTTCTAATCCATTCATTATTTTTTTAGATACATGATATATTAAATAATAAAATCTTTAAAATAAAAAGATTAAAAAAAAGGTTTTCTAAATGATTTAAAATTTAAAAATTTTATAATTTAATATATCAAATGTGTAAAAAAATGATAAAGAACTAAAAAAAGATAAATAATAAATTTTAAATATTGAAAAAAAAAACTTTTTAAGTAAAAAAATTTAAAATAAACTTTTTATTAATGTAAAATGATCAAACTAGAGTTTTAATCAAGGTCTTTCAAGACGAAGAAAATTGCGCCGCAGAATTCCCTGCTCTGTCAGGCTGTCACGAACCTCGTACCCCCACAAAATTGGAAAGAAGGGAATAATTTTAACAGCATCCAAACGACACCGTTTGGCAGCCCTTGGACGTGGCAAATCCTCTCCGAACCAGCTGTTAATGGGTCCCAAAACACTTGCGTGGCAGAGTATGTAGAGACCCACAAAAAAGGAGAAGAACAAAGTCCGCCGCTTAGAAAGAGTGGCGGCTCTCTCTCATAGCAGATTTTCCTTGATTTCTTCGGATTCCTTTTCATTGACGCCATGGTTTACATAACCTCCTGGGACGAGTTCGTCGATCGATCCGTGCAGTTGTTCCGGGCCGATCCTGAATCGGTATGTAAAATTTTCTCTCTTCTATTGTACTGTTTGTTTGCAAAGAAAATTGACTGGAAACCAACGGAATTGGAAGTCCTTGATTGTGCTTTCCGCTTCTCTTTTTGTTCTAAAACAAGAATAAATAGAAACGTATTGCATTACTGTAGTTCCTTTTGTGTTTTTGAAATTCTATTATTCAACATGTTGATAGTAACCCTAAGATTTCTGTGTTTTAGTTTTTTTTTTTTTTTTTTCTTGGAAATTCGAAAGGATTGCATAGGGATTTTGCTTCTGATGGTAGTGAAATTGTTAATTCTTGTCATGATTATAC